GTGAATACAAAGAAGAGTTCTTGGCCATGAATTTGCTAGGGGACCTGGGGAGGGAGGAGGAACTGTATTTACATAGGTGGAGTATGTGGATAGGGCAGATTTGACCCCCAAAGGATTTTATGTTAGTTTAGCCTTGTTTACTGCTACTGTAATACTGCTGGAGTGCCTCTGGACTGCAGCTAAGTGAGAAATTACTTGCTTCTAGTTACGCCTTTTTTCACAGGGGCAGTAACTCAGCTGATACATGGATCAGCACACTAATAGGAGAGAGTGCCCTGTTCAGCTACGGCTGCGGGAGGTGGAGTGACTCTGTGTAATAGCTGACTCTCATCAAAAAGGGGAAGCCTCTCCCACTATTTTCTCCACTTTCTTTCCCCACTCTCTGCAGTGTGCTCCAACTCTTTACCTCATGCCACCCACCCTCTAGCACCTGAGGGACCCCTCCAGGTAAGGAAGTTTAACTCACTGAGCTAGCAAAAAATTAACCCAGTGGAAAAACTGGATCATATTCTGCCAGGGCAAGAAAGGCTGAGGACCATATGACTGGAATCAGGGAGGATACGAAAAGGCAGAGGAGGAGGAAGAGCAAGCTTTTCCCTTTTGGCAAGAGGGAGCTGTTAATATTGGCAGCTGCTTGTGAAACTGCAGCCTTAGGGCGGGCTACATAGTTAGAGGATTGAGCTCTTGATCCCAAGCTCAATCACAGCAGTCCTGCTAGCACACGGACCTTGCAGCCCTATTCGACGTGCTAGCACACTCTCAACCTGCCCTACTGCTTGTGAGATGTCTCATCTGATCTCCGAAGCGGTGACTGACAACTAAGAGGCAGTAGGTGCTTAAACCCCTCAGCTGTAATGAACTCTGCAGATGCTCCTAGTGCATCAGAAGGATGCCTCGGACAGGTTGGCTATGGCCACACGTGAAGCTGATTTAAACTGGTAGTTTTCTAATCACTAAACATATAGATCCTTTAAGGGACTGGAAGAGCAGCTGAGGCAGCATAGGGCTCTGGTTTCCATCAGTTCAGCAGATTGAAAAAGTCCCTCCACCCTCATCCAGGAGGAAGGGAGAGGCTGATTTTTGCATCTCTGGTAGAAAGAGAGAGACAGGAAAATTGGATCCCTTAGAAGAAGGGGCCAATGAAGAACCACTGGCTGCTGTGGCTGCTGGTGCACTTGGCAGATTTTTCCTTTTCTTCTGCTGGAATGAAAATTTAAAAAAAACCACCACTGCTGGGATATTCTACGGCAGATTGACTGCAGGAGTTAGTCACTGGCTCGCGAGAAGCTCTGCTAGCCTATTGTGGGCAGGGGATCCAGCGTGTATGCTGGAGGCGTGTGGAAAGCCCCCAGGGAGATCTTCTTGGGCTTTTTTATACCGTCTTTTTTTCTCTTCATTGCCTTGAGCATTATAAGGCTCTTTTTGACCAGCTGGCATTCCAGAATGAGAACCACAGTGCGTGGCTGGGGCTGAAGGGTGCCTGTGCATGATGGCAACTTGGTGACTCGGGGAACAAATGTTTCCTCTTTTCACAGGGCGATGGTGCGTTGAGCTGAAGCAGCCTGGGGAGAGCACAGTGTGTGCTTGCTCATGCCTGCACCACGGGCAGGGCTAAAAGTCCTCTTCCTGGCAGGTGTGAGGCATTGGCATGAGCCAGGCAGCTGAAGGGTTTGTAGATGAAAGAGGCAGTTCCCCTGTGAAATTCCTGTGTAGATGGCACGTGGGACAACAGGGACTGGAAGGTGCCTTGACTGCCTGGAGTTAAAGAGCTTTACAGGGGATCTCTAGCTAACAAAGCAGGGAGCCCATGTCGAAAATGGCAGGGGAAGTCAGTGTAGGTTTTTTGGTTTTGTTTTGGTGGTTTTGGTTTTGTAGGGAGGCAGGAAAAAAACTGAGCTGGGACTTGTCCATTTTTCTCGCATGCTGAGTGTGAGAACTTTTTCAGGGGATGAGGGTAGCAGGGATGGAAAGGACTGTAGCTAGCTACATCTGGAGGGAAAGCTGGCAGTTGGTTTGCAGAGATTTGGGACCAGGCTAGACAGTGGAGATGTATGAATGTGAGTGGTGCATAGGCGTCCAGACAATTGCAGAAAAAAGAAAGCAAGCTGTTATCTGAAACATTTGGGAACTGCTGAGATAAGCAAGCTGCTCCAGTCTGTTGACCTGAAGGGTGGAAACAGTTGACTACTAGATCTGAGTTGGAAACGGCAACTTGCAGCAAGGAGGAGGTAAAGGGAAGCTTCCTAAACCACACCTGGGGAGTAATTCTTGAAAATGGAGCCCTTTTCCAATTTCTGTAATGGTCAGTCTAGTCCTGGAAGTGATTGCGCTGTGCAACAAGCAGCACCTTGATGTCTGAACCGTGATAGGCGGAGCTGTACTGACATGACCATGATGACCTGCCTGGAGTCACCAGCGCTTTTTTGACATTTTCTCAACACCACCTCCTGTAGAGCTGTAGACCGTTCTTCATAGCCCATTCTGCTAAGTCTTGTAGACTGTGCTGTTTTATGTCCTGGTTTCTAAAAAGAGCATTAATCCTTCTTCTGTTGAGTGTGAAATATATGCCATGGGTTAGTTTCTCTGAATTCATAGAACCATATTTTTCTATTTGAAATTTTCAGGTTTTCTACGTCCATTTGCCAAAAGCGGCCATAATACATTACACCTTAAAATCCTGGTCTTTATGATCTGGTAGTAAGACACGTGGTTCCTGGGTGACTGAAGGCTTCACAGATAAAAAGAACAGTACCTTGCATTGACTCCAAGAGCACATTAAGAATAGGTTCTGGAGAACCTATGTAGTATGTTTTGAGCAGGGGGATTGGACTATAATCTCCAGAAGCCTCTTCCAACTTCAGCTACTATGTGATTCTGAGCTAAGAAGATTTATTCAGGAGGTGTCTGCAACCTTTGTGACTTGGAATTTCATTTTCATTATACTCCATCTTTGCAGTAATTAGTACGTTGATAACTAACGGTTTTCTCCCACCTCAGACGTTTCATATCCCTTACTGCTGTCTGGATACTCGGATCACATGAAAAGCCAAATAAAGACCCTATGAATTCACGCTGTTTGGAACAGAGGATACACTCTGGAGTCAGTATTTTGGCTCACTGGTGAAACTCCGTGTACAAGGTACAAAGATACTACATAGCGAAAACGTTTATGGCATTTCTTGCTAGCTTGTGTGTCCCTTGCAAGAACTGAGGTAAGTGTCTGCATTGTATGTTTCAGAAAATCTGGGAAAGCTTGAAGATATCCATAGTAAAATCTGATTGTTGCCGCTTTGCACAATGCATTTTCCTAATGGGGTGTAAGGAAAAACACTCTACGTTTGGGGAAGAAGCTAACTTCATAGACATTTACTAGTTGTAGCTTTAAAGAGAAATGTTTCATGTGGGTGTGTTCATGCGACTGGACCTTAGTGAAATAAGACAGTGCAAAGAGACGGAAATTCTGCCGTTAATCATGTTACTTTTATTTAAACAGTAAGGTGTGCTTCTAACGTAAGTGGTTTTATTTTTATTAATACTTGATGCTGAGTTTTGAACAGTACTGTACCCAAACAATTTTACAAATATAATGCTCAATACACTGTTTATTGCTCATTGTTTTTGTATGAACATAAAAACTGGAAATGAATGTTCAAATAAATAAGGCACCCTACTAATATGCTGATTTCATGTATTGTAGTAACATGCACAAAATTTCATTTTGTTTTTACAAGTCATTTTTCTCATTTTCCTCATCAGAGAAAAAAAAAAACTTAGATTTTATTATTTGGGCAAGGGCCAATGCTTGTCTGAAAAGTCAAAACTTGAAAGCACTCTCTAATTTTTTAATTTAACCGTCCACCTTACAAAACTAGCTTCTGTATAGCATGTCCCAATTTCTTTTCCTGAAGACAAAAAGTATTTTTGTTCTTCCTTTGCTGTTACTAGGAAACATGCGTTGCAGGAGGACTGTTCACGTACTGCTTGAGACAAAAGACCTGACTTGCTTTTTTAGCTGTGTTTTCTTCTTGTACTGACCTCGCTGAAAAGATAAAAATAAAAATGCAAAGGCATCTTTACTGCCTTATCTTGTGTGGCTGAGCCCAAATCACTGATCAGCACGAGGTGGGAGCTCCACAGAAGCTGGTTAAAAGCCTTTTTTTAGTTTCAGTATGCCCTAAATTAGGACTTGCCAACAGTTTCAAAATACATTCTGTCCAATTATCCTTTTCCTCCAAGGTCCATGTTGGCTCTCACTCTGTCTCAGGGCTGAGGAGAACAGTGGTGCCCAGGTCAGCCTCATAGACTTGTCAGCCGCTACGGCGGAAACCTGTTCCCAAAGGCCTGAAGGATTTGACAACCTATTGCTGAAGTGCTGACAAATGATCAAATAATCAAACCAGAGAGACACGGCTCCAACCCACCACCCCAGCTCCCAGCTTTCTTTAAACAGTTTGTTACAGTCTTTTTAGAAATTATCTGAAACAATAGCCGAGACAAAGGGTTTGGATCTTTTCCTTTTTTTTTTTTTAATTTAAAGCCGATTGTATAATAATTTCCTGATGTTCTAATGTTTATTCTTTAAAACTGAAATGTTCTTGCAAGGTAATATAACATAGATAGAATCATCGAGTTACCAGTTATATGAAGTATGTATTACACATATGACAACACCCAGCTTTACATGAACTTTGAAATGCAAGATGTCTTCATTACCTAAGTTATTACAGTACTGTTTTAAAGGAATCTTTTGGTTATATGTAAACACTATAATTTAGCTGTTTAAAAAATAATCATGTAAGACAAGTATGGCATTGACATAGTTTAAAAAACTATAACTAGCCCTAAATCTGAATACTCTCAGGATAGAACAGCAAAAGCAGATATCAGTCTAACGCTATGGAAAAACATGCTGAAATTTTGACTTATTTAAAGAACTGATGCTTCTTTGTGTTCCCTCCTTCTTTTGCTTTCATACTTTTAAGATTTTCACCATCAGTGCCCTCAGGAATGGGCCAACTTGTACTATGGGTGGCAGGGTAATATATGCTATTTTTAGTGTTGCCATTCTAATATTAAAAGCCATCTAAATTAAGATTCCTAAATATGTACTGGTTTAAATTAAAATCCTGAGGAATTATAATCTGTTTACTTGATGGTTTTTGTTAAGTGCAATTTGATGTATGCAGAATGCTGTTTCATTTAAGGTCATTCTTAGTAAGGCATATTAAAAATAAATATAAAAGTGACAACATAATATTTAGTTTCTTGCTACAAAATCTTAGGCAAAAATATTTTTGCATGTAGTAATGGACTTTATCCATTTGCTGGCTTACAGGAGTTAAAATTTGTGCATTAAGCTTAACTGCCCTTGTCAGAATGTGCCACCGTGCTATAGTAGTGGTCCAAAGCTACATGCTAAAGATTTTGTTTCCATGCTCAAACACAGCTTGCACAAACTGCTTGAAGACTCTGTCCATGTAAGTGCACTTCCTTGGCCATATTCCTTCCAGGAAACCAATATGGCCTCCACACGATGTCAGAACCAAAGCAATGTTTGCATTTTGTTTGGCAGTTTCTACTGGTATGGCTAAAAAGGGAGGGAAAAAGTTTTAAGACGTATCCTTCTATGAAATGCCACTGAGTAATTTCTCTTAAATGTTTCTCATATTATATATGAATAAATATGCACAACATTAACATACACTTAAACGTACCACAGGACATAGAACCATCGCTGTGTTAAAAGCCATTTCTCTCTTCATCATTAACTCACCTTATCTGTGTGATTTTCCTGGGTGCTGTTAAAGTTTCAGAAATCACTGGGCTTCATCTTTCCTTCATTCCCACTGATGGAACAGCACCCATGTTAATGCATACTTACAATTTGGTATAGTGTAAGTGAAAGGACAGTCAAGCCTGTAGGTTTTAATCTGTGTTGCAATAGTCAACTTTGGAAAAACTGAGGAACTGGGACCTTAATTGTGAATGCCGTTCTCTTTCTAAGAGACTTCAAACACAAAAGCTTTTCTGTCACCCTAAGATTTTGTCTATAAGATACCCTATCAGCTAATATTAAAGATTATCCTGGGTTATCATCATTATATCTGATTTGCCACCCATTTACACCTGCACGTTTCGACCACACCATGCAAACACACTGGGAGACCATTCTTGCCCTGAGGAGCTCGTACTCTAAATACGCACGGTAAACAGAAAAAGAGGAAGGACAAACAACTGCTCAAGGACACAGAAAGCTGCTCCATGTCACCTAGTAGGTTAGTGGTTTTCTACTGAATCGTGACTGCTAGAAAGTTATTCAGTTTAGAATTTAGATTATTAGACAAGATACCACAAGGATTTTTCTGTTGCTGGGTTAGTTTTCAGCTGGATCAGTTCCCTGATCTGGTTCCCCGTGTTAATGCCAATATAGGAATGGCAGCAGACACAGTTCAGGTGAGGACTGCGGTGAGGTGGCCCTTTCACAGAGAGCTACATACAGTTAGCTTAAAGTCTTCAGTGAACTACACCTGAGACATACACTGATCTTGAAAGGGATACTTCAGTGCGTATTATTTTGAATATGCATCGGTGTGTGGCTTAATCAATGCTATCACCTGGGCAGTTCCCTTTGTGAAAGAAAATAAAGGTCAGTTAGCACAGTCTGACATGCATCTGATTTCACATGATGGGACTATGCTGTCCTCATATAAACTGGCTGACATAACAGTGGAGCTTTACGGAGCTGTGGTGTTTGCACTCTTGATATAAAAATTAAGTTATTTAAGCAACTTCCTCTGGAGTTTAAGTATGTTAAATGTACTCCTAAACAAGCAGAAATCCCAATATGTTTCAGTGAAGAATGCCTTTCAAAGTTCCAGTTTTCAAAAAATAAACTTCATGGAAGGGAAAAAAGAATATCATACAGATTATTTGATTATTCAGGATGGACAGAAAAAGTAACAGCAAAAGAAGGTGTGCGTTGTCCAGACAGAAGGGACTAGTAGGGATTTCACTGTATTGTCTAAAAAAGATTATGATTCCACAAGAAAATCAGTACGATTTTAGGTCACACACTGCTAAAGTAAAAATGCCTTGGCACTACAAGACAAAGCAGCAAGTCATTCGCAGGATTTCTGTTGCTGCCTCATTTATTTTAAAGTATTTCTAAAGACAGGTTTTTAATCAAATTCACTTTTTGGGCAGTTCAGTTGTCCACATCCCTTTCTGACTGAACTTCCTTCAGAGACACCCCTCACTTGCTCCTATTTCTAGGAGTCTGTTTTCCTTTACCACTTTATACATTTGCTGTTTCAAAAGTCATTATCCTTGAGTAGTCATTATCCCTGCCTACCACTACTTTCTTTATAGCTGAGCTCCTGACTTTGGTTTGGATGCTGGCAGACTCATTGCTGTGTGCTTCAGATGCAGCCCGGCACCGCTCCTTAGCCAAAGAAGGACCCCCAGACAGAGTATGCCTCAAGAGATCTTGAGTGCAATGACTGTGGTGAACAGATGCGCAACGTAAAATAGATCAGGGCAAAAGCACTGGACCTGCAGCGTCAGGGGAGCAGCCTGTGCCTCAGAGGTCCTTACTAGCAGTGCCTGGAACGCCAGGCTCGGTTCCACTCCAGGGCCTCAGCACAGATGCTAAACCAACCATATCCATAGCTGGGTTAGTGTCTTTTATGGATGTTGTGTTGTAAGATTCCTGCCCATAACACAAAGTATTCAATTGTGCCTGGAATGGAGCACAGACCAAGCTCCAGAGAGCAATGGGGATTCTCTTGCAGAGTACACGAGATTCTTTGCTACTCAGTGCTATTAATTTCTTTCACTCTTTTCCTCCTTTCAAAGCTGCATGCATCTAAGTAGTTTATAGATTCCAGCATGTAGTAAGTGATTTTGATTCTTTACTAGGTGGAAGAAAAACCATGTTTCTCGCTGTCTCTACAAAAAGTCCTTGACTTCAGATGGAAAATTTAAAATCCTTTATGCAGAATCTGGGCCTTTTAAACCAGTACTTAGGCAAGACTAAGAAGAAAAGTCCATGAAATAAAAGCGTAGGGCCAGCCAGCCTTGACTGGGAAATAGCACAGGCTGAAAACAAGAGATGCAGAAAACAATGTGTTACGTCTTGCAGCCCAACACATGCATCATTTTCAGACTCAGCAAGTGCTCATCTGGAGTTTTGCCTCAGTTAATCTGCCCAGCAATCTCTGATCTAGCTCCTTTGGATTCTGTGGATAAACACATTGCCGTGTACAAAGACAGTGGCTACGATTCATGTGAGCTTTTGCCGACTGCATGGGAATTTGCCCACTTATCTGCACCGAGCCATCTGCTCCTCCTTCCTCTGAGCATGTGGGCCATGTTAAACAGAATCCCGATACAGAAGCGGGGATCAGACTTAAGCCTGAGTCCCTCATTCCTGATTCAGGCAATGAATCATGCTTTACATGGCCATTCTGCAGCTGCCTCCCTGGTCACTACTAATGAGTAGGCTTATGTGCAAGGCTGTGGGGAGGAGTGTGTGAGGAGAGACGGACTTGATCTCCGAGAATCAGAGACAACATGGTAACTCCCATTGATCCTAATGGATTCAGGATCGGCTGCATACTGGCCTGAACACGTCTTCATGAGCTGAGATTGTGCACAAACATGATGGTCATTTACTTTGTCAGACTAGAGTCACAGCGTAGAGAGAAATATCCTTTCTTGATGAGAAAGCGCTTTGCTGGGAGTGTGGAAAGGAGATGACAGTAATGTCTCCTCTGCTGTGCCAACCCAGCTGGGGAAGCCCTTACAGGCAAAGCTCACTGTGATCTCTGCATACCTGTCGTTCAGAGGCTGCCAGCATAATGATACTTCCCACATCAGTTTGCTGGTGGTTAATTATTCATTCCCAAACTGACTGGCAATACTATGGTGGATGCCATGTGCTGCCTGCCTCCAAACAGCAACACCAGCTCTCTCCTAGAATCCTACCAGCACTAGAATGCTGGTTATCTTCTGTGCCAGGTAAGGTACGAGCCACACACAGGTCTTTACGGATGTCATCGTCCTCATCCTGAAGGTCCCCCTATTCTAACTAACATTTGTTTGCAGGACAATTCCGCCACAGATCATCGCTGTTACCACAAGCTGCAGCGCTGGGCTGAATGTGCAGTCATATGCTTCCATCTGCAGTGAGGATTTTTAGTAGGGGCCAAGTTTGAGCTGCCGTTACCTCTCTGCTCTTACCTCCCCTGTGGTGAACAGGAGAGCCTGCCCTTGGCATAGTCGGTCCTGATACAGTTGAGTCACCATCTGTATGACTCCTTCCCAGCAGAGTTTCTTGCTCTGCAGCTTCTGAGGAGAGAACTGAAAATGTTGTGTTGCTCTCCAGTGCCAAAATGCAAATGATGCCTGGCAGTGGTGTGGTACTTTTCTCAAGGCTGTTTCTAGGGACTGCTAGTCATCCAGAAACAAACCCACAATGCAACAGAGCAAATTCTGCAATGTAAAGGGCAGATGAATGGAGGACTGGATGTGATGCACTCTAGGATACAGGATGGCATGCCAAAAGATACTACTGTTCATTTTGTCCACAAGTAACCTCGTACTTATGTTTCTACTGACCCAAATCTGTACTGCTGTTTGATCCAGCAGGCACAGACCTGTTCTTCGTGATCACAGAATCACAATGTAAATACGTATGTGCAGAATTATCTTGTTCAAAATCAATTTCTTGAACATTCTTTTCAAAAAGTATTTTTTAAAAAAGAACGATAGAAAAGCATACATGTGAAGCAGCATCAGCTTAAATAAGTCACTGCTGTGAAACTTTCTGTTCCATTGTTTGGTTGATTTCTCCCTATTCTTTAAACTCTCACCCTAATTTTTATCCATCTGGCCACTCCTTGGCCATTTGGTCTTTCTAGACAACTTCACTCAACTGTGCAGTTTACATAATAGGATGCAAAATAACACCTAAGAGCAATTACTTCAAGTTTGGATTTGGAGGGACAGAAAAGGTTCAGAATTCAATAAAAAGTACAACTAAGCCTCAGACATTCATATTTTTGGCACAGTGCATCAGGAGGGAGCTGGCACGGCACCTAGCTTCAAGGGCAGGCTTTCAGCTTGGGCACAACACTAACCAATGGCAATTAGCTACATGTTATTATAATGAAATTTAAGTCAGATGCCTAATATGCTGCTTAAAGTCTCTGAGGAGAAAAATGCCACTTCAGATGAAAAGTTAAATGTGACACTGATAATGAATGCTATCATTCCATCTTCTTGATTTATTTTTCACACTTATAAAATAAAAGGACTTGACTCGGTTATATTACATGTATCCTGAAGCAATGGCTCGTTTAATTTAGTGGTGGTGAGAGAAGTGTCATGCAATGAAGAAAACATTTGTTTTCATTAGTTAGTATTATGCAGTATGAGAACTGCAATCCAGAATTGAACTAAGATACATCAGCTGCCAAACTCTATGAACTTTAAACAGCAACCACAAGGAAGGACTGCAAATGAATTGTTTCTTCCTAATACTGGATTGAGATCAAAGGACACATTTTCTCAATATATTTGAAAATAATTGCTGGGAAGTACAAAGTGTACCAAAAAAATACATGAGAAGAAATGATCAGGTAGTAAGAGGCAACAGAGACAGCATCTGCACTTTTTAAGGAAAGTCTCTCTTTAGGTCCGCATCGTGTAGTGACAAAGCAGACGTGAGTTTGCATTCCCCAGGCTCTGTAAAGGAAGATAGATCTGGCTGGCTTTTATAAACGATATGTAAACACAAAGGAATTCCAGCTCAGCTTTCTCCCCAGTAAGTTTTCTAGGCCTGTTTTCCAGCTGTCGGAAACTACCGCTATCTACAACACAGGTGGAAGGTAGCGTAAAGGTAGGTTTTATAGGAAGAGATGAGGCATGAAATAACCAGTCCCCAAAGTCAATAAAAGACTGGTCTGGATGAGAAGAAATTTTGTGGCTTTGAATCCATTATACAGCTGTGAGTGGAAACTGCCTCTGGGTGCCACAGGCTTACATATGTCCACAGGCTTTTAAGTCAGAAAAAGTTGCCAGAATAAAGTCACCTCCCAGAATAACACCAGCCCTTTAGGTTTGCTAACATACAACAGCTCACAAAAGTGTCGAGATGAATGAACTCCAGTAACTGATGGCAGCAGCCATAATTTCTAGGCTGCTAATCAGGGTGCCTTGTGTCTCCTGCCAGCACAATTTTTCACATTGAGGTGCACAGCACAAACCAAAAAGGAGCCAAGGACAGACACAGATAACAGAGCCATGCTATTAGCTGAAAATCAACATTGTCCTGATGGCCTTTTCTAAGGTAAACTTGTCACCACGAGGACAATGGAATGCCAACAGCATTAACTTTGTGAACAAGGAATAAACAGATGCCTAACCACCCCGATATTTTCATGGAGAAAGGCTGGTTAGAGTCAGAGTTTAAGAGATGGACAGTCATTACAACAGATTCTAACACTTCTTGATTTGGGTTTCTCATGGTACTCTACCTCACCCCTCTCTACACTGCAAGACTTCTAAGGCATTCTAACAATAAGTTTGATACTAAAACTTCCACAAGAGACCATCCCTATAATATACTGTTCACAAAGAGCTGTGTTGCTTTTAAAAACCAGCTCCAAGGGAGAAGAGATCTGCTACAGCTGTACTCTACGGGACTCAATCTTTTGGCTAGTCAAACTACACCATCACAGAACTGTTGAGGCTGTCAGAGACCTCGAGATCATCTAGGCCAATCCCCAGCTACTCAAGCAGGGTTATGTAGACCAGGTTGCCCAGAACTGTATCCAATCAGGTTTTGAGTATCTCCATAGAAGAAGACCGCAAAACCTCTTTATGTCAGCGTTTGACCACCCTCAGAGTAAAAGAGCATTTTCTTGTGTTCAGATTGAATTTTGTGTGGTCAAAGTCAATGGCTGGCTCTTGAAAGCTGGAGGTTATATTCTAAAATGAAGAGACAAGGCGATGGAGTATCTGCACTAGCTTTAATCTAGTTAACAAAGGTCCCAGTCTCAGTGGCAATAGGCTGGAAAAGGTTAACGAACCCTCCAGGGACAGAAGCACACTGTCTGCTTCACTGCTCTTGTTACTTGTGCTCACTAGCTGGCTTACTTCTGCCACAGCTACTACTTCACTGTAGAACAGAAAACACAAACTGAGCTAGAGCTAAATGTAGAGGTAAAGCCATTGTTCCCTCTTAAATATACTTAATGGCAGAAGCATGGCACAGCAGATCACCCACCTTGTGGTACTATGGGAAAAGTCATTCCTGGGGTCATAAGACCCATTAAAATTTATCTTCAGAATCACTAGCAAGATTTGATATTTGGAACAGATTCTAGGGTCACAGCCTCATCCATTCTCATTTCCAGGACATTATATGCTTATAACAGAAACAGCAACTAGCCCATTTCAAGGAAACAAACAAAAAAAATAATCCCATAGAGGCTAGTAAACACAAAGGGACTAACTCTGGCTCAGAACGTCCCTTGAGTGCAAATTGTTGAAGATGGATGCAGTATTCTGGAGGAGTACTGCTATGTTTGCCCAGATCTTACCTTTTTTAAGCCTGTTTTGGCCAATGTAAGGGATAGGTACTTTGGCTAATCCAGAGTCACCATCTCCCCCCCTCATATTAGGTGGCTGTCACCTCTTTATATCGTTCATGCGTAGCATGGAAGCTTTTTGTTCAAGAGGAGAAGAAATCAGACTGTCTTTTTGTAGCGCACTCTACCTAAGTGGCCCTTTTGATGTCACATTTGTCTCTAACAGGTCTTCAAACTATAAATAGTAATGTGAGGGTGTGCGTGTTTCTCTATGTGCTGTACCTTTGCGCGCAGATAAACAGTACACACATACACAGAGTCTCTTCCAATTCCTTCATTCTTCTATTTGTTGTTCTAATCTGTTTGCCTACTCACTTTGGTTTCATGACTCATTCTACAAGAATCTCACTTGGCTTGTGGTGGCAGAAGACTTCCCTGAAATAAATCAAGTGTATGAACTTCATATTTAAAGGTGTCAGGTGTTCACTGCTGAAGACTGTCCCCTCAACCAGCTTTTCATTATGGTTGTTTTGCTCTACATTAACTTTTGTTCTCCCGCACTTCTCAGACATTATTACCAATACCCAGACCACAGAAACAAGCATAGCTTTTTAAGACAGTTGGCAACAAGGTTTTGATCTTCAGATCAAAAGCAAAATGTTCATAATGGTCACGTTTGGCAGAAAATAGGAAGAAAGGCTGAAAACTCCGGTTTCCCTTATCTGCTCCATCTTCTAGTTAGATTCTTATTAATTTCAAAGTGCCACCTTCTAGAAGCTCACCTTGTCTATATCTCCTCCCTTACCCTAGAATTTGGCCTACAAGCTAACTTACATCTTTTAATTTTCAGGCATTGGAGGTAGCACTGAGATCACAAGCAACAACAGCTGAGGATTTCAAGTCATCTGAAACATAAGCAACTCCCAGACATTCTTTTTAGAGACTGGATTGAAAAATGGCAATAAAAAAAATGCTTGCTTTCACTTTCATCGAACTCTGAATGTCTACAATCCAGACATCTGTATCCAAGTTCCTCACTATAAGCTCTCTTCGTACTTGGTGAATAGAAATGGGTGCTTCTGAGATGGCAATACATCTGATATCTTCCTTACAGTGAGATAACTCACCCCCTAAATGTGCATATTTATTTCTCTGACTGTAAAGAGTCTACTAATGATTGCCACCCCATGTGCTTCTGCATTCTGTACTAATCAGATCTCTCCATCATCAGCTGGTTTATGTGTGCCTTACACCATAAGTAAATTGCAAGACTGATCCATCCCTGGAGTTTTTGATCCTATATACAAGTAACATTTAAATACACCTCCACGCGTAGGCCTGAGTTCATTCTCAGACCTATGTAGTTTGTCTTAATGATTGCATATTCAGATAAATGTATTTTAAAAAACCTAAACTTACCATGACCTGGTGAGAAAACATCATCCACAGAGTTTAGACATAACACTGGAATTCCTACTGACTTCAGCTTGCGACATGGGCTAGCATCTTCATAGTAATCATCAATTGTACGGTAGCCAAACATGACTGAAGTGAACTGCTTATCAAATTCTCTAACAGTTCTAGCCTGAAGTACAGAATTCAAATAGGGAACTATGTCAGTGTTCGGAAAACAGCGTCCAGCTAAAGCAGAAGTAACATTTTCACATACCTTCATCACGAGATCCATATCAAATAATTTCTCCAAAATTTGCCGATGCCTAAAAGGAAAGAGAGAAAAATTGGAGGGCTTGTTTTTCGTTATATAAACAGATTTAGAAGTCCTCTGCTTTATAGATACATTCATAGAAACAACTCCCTAACAAGAACATGCTTGGTTTTCATTTTCTGTCATATTAAAAATCTGTCTGGAATCCAACAGCAGAAGAATTTTCATTCATATGCAGGCACATCCAGCAACACAGTAAAAATCTGCACTAGCCATGAGAAAGATGCCAAAGATAACACAATTTAAGAGAATTAAGTATTTGGGAATACAAAATACACTCTAATTTTGCAAAGCAAATGATTAACTAGTCCCTTTCATGCTTTTGCAGTCAAGGTTGACTTAAAAGAATTAGTATATACACACATATACTCCAAGTCAATATGTGCATGTGTAAAAATTAAAAAATCCATTCACTTAATCCATAAGTATAGAAGTACATTGGTCTTGTGCCAAGTCCCTTAAGGAGCAGAGAAATTTAGTCACATCGATGACAATCTTTCTTGCACAGATCCTTTTGATTTCAAAATTTACACAAGAATGCACACAGAACAGCTATGTGAAGTGTTGTTACAGCATTAATTTTGCCAACATTATTATACCTGCTGTAGATCTCATGCTAACATCCTTCCACCTTGCTAAATAGTTTAGAAGACAACTCACCTGCTGATATAGGATTGTAGACAAGTAGTCAAGTAATAGTTGAAAAGAAGCCAGTTTAGTGGCTTCTCCAGAGATTCTACAGATTCAAAAACATTCCAACCCGCAGAGAAAATTGCAGCTGCCATTAAAGGAGTGTCTCTGCCAGTTTTGCCCAGGTAATTTAAAAGAAGCATGCTACAAACAGAAATGAAAAACAGAAACATATATACTATCAAATTGTTTGCTTCAATTTAAAGCATTTAATAACAATCAGGAAACTTTTTGTCTGTTTTTCCATAATTTCTTGTATCAGCCCTACAGTTGTGCCTAATACTTCTAAAAGATAGTCAGTGTAATCAACATATGACTCATGGAGTTTGCTTTCTCTCTCTGCTGTCAGACAGTAACGGAGTGCACTGTGTAGGATGTGGGTAGGAGTGCATTAAGAAATAAATAGAGATATACTAGTCTTATTTATATCACTAAAAGGGAGGAAAAGGTCAAATAAATGTATCTTACTCATGCAACAGGTATTCCTGAGCTGTTAGTAAATTTTACCATTTTACAAGCTCTTGGTCTGCCTGATCTGACAAATCTGATCCGTGTGCCTGACAAATGCAAGCTGCCCCGAGCGTGCCTGCCTCACTATGAAGCTGTCTTCTGAGCTGAAGGTAATACCTTTACCCCACCTCACACATAGGAGAGAACACAGCAGTTCTTAAACACAAACTATGAAAAGCGTTGGATAATAAAACTAGATAAACAAAATTATAAGCCAAATAAATGGCGTAAGTCTTGCCTTTCTGACCAATTGCAACTTACAGTCTGTATTCTCATGCATAGTTAAGTTGAATAAAAGGGAGAGTTCATCAGTATGTGACCCTTCGAATGTAGAAAAATTAAAATAGCAGCAAGAGTGTAAGAGAAAAACACTAACAGAAAAGCTCTACATCTTACTTTACTGCCTGAGGCCCCAAAGTTTACAACCAGCATTTTAATACCAAGCCTTTAAGTCAAAACATTACAAATTCTACAACTTTATATAGCTCCCTGGACCACCAATGCTCTGTACCTTGGCTTCATCTACCAAACTTCAGGAGACAGTAACCATTAGCAAGCGCATCATGAACCAGGCTGCCATCACAGAGACTTCATCCCCACGCACTACCTACCAGATCATAGGAGAGCAACGCAAAAGGGAAACCAGTCTTTGGTATTACCAAAGACTTGCCAGTTGGTAGGAACCAGCAGGAAAAGAACCGCAAACAGCACTTGGGAGTGGGCTCCTGCCATCAGCTCACACAGTTGAACCCAACGAGGAAAGTCACCTGTGGCACATACAGGAGTTAGGTAGCATATGTCACCTCTCATCCATAGAAGAGGAGGAACCTGCGAGTCACCAGACTATATACTGTAAGAACACTGAGCCATAAACTAATAAAAAAAGTTGCAGTAGTAGAATAAGCCACTTCTCTAACAGAATTCACAGAATATATGTGGTAGAGAGAAGGCTTAGGAATCCTTATGTTAGAAAACAAAGTCCCTTTCCAAAATGATACACACTGAAAATCAGTAGAACAAGTGGGCTTTCATTTACATTTACACCTTTGTGAAGAGAATGTTTATTTTTCTTCTTAATTGGGCAAATGGGTCCTACATAGACTAACTGGCTATTGAGAAAAATTTGAAAAGGGATAGATAATAAAAACTATTGTAAGATTAAGACAAGTGGATGATTTTCACAATATCTCCCTGGTGAGATCTCTGCTCCTGCTTAATTTTAAACATTTAAGTGCTCCAATTAATTTTGAAGTGTGGAAACAGTCCCCATGTGGATGATTAGAGACTCTTCCAGTATTTCTGTACAATTAAGCATATGCTTTCTCTTTGTGGTTTGGGACTTTAAAAACATTGGAGGAGGAAGGTGGAACATCTTGCCTAATGTTGCCCAGTGGTGGTGGTGAGGTAAAAGCCAGGAACACAACACAGATCCCATTGCCATACTAACATACTTTGTCACTATTTAGGATACCATAACCAGGTTAAACCAAGGACAGAAATGACACTAAGGGCCAAACACACAGCATGGGAAAAACAGGAAGAATTAGAAGCCTGAACGTAGTCACAGAACAAGTTTATTGGATCACAGAGACATGGAGAACTCACAGGCAGACCAGACTATGCTATGATGGATGCAAACAGACTCTTCATGAAGGATTGGCACTGAAGGCAAGGAGGAGAGTTTGCACCTTAAACAAAGATGCCCTTTAAATGCACAGAACTTTTCTCTGGTGCAGATTATAAGCCAATTCAGAGCTAATAGGTCAAAATCAGATGGGAGACTAACAAAGGGGATATCACAGTGGGTATCCGCTATGGATCCCTGATCAAGAGGAGGAATTAGAGAGTCCAAGTCTTTAGACAGCTAAAAGAAGCTTAATAATCACAGAGAACTGTAACCATCCCAGCATCAACTGGAACAACAGCACAGCAAGGCACAAGCAGATAACATTTTTGGAGAGTATCAAGGACAATCTTTTGATACATGATCAATGACCCAAATAGGAGCAATGTTCTATGGATCTGCTACTCACATGTAAGGAAGAACCTGTCAGGTGTGGGAAGGTGCAGAACAGTCTTGGCCACTGAGATTTTTAGATGGTGGATTTTTAAGATCAAAAGTGAGTGGGGAAGGTAAGCAGCAGAATTACAATACTGGACTTGAAGAGAGTTGGTTTCAATTTGGTCAGAGATCTGGTTGGCAGGATGCCATGTGAGGTGGCCTTGATGGGCAAAGTAGTCTAGGAGAACTGTTTGACCTTAAGGATAATTGAACATAAAGCACAAGTATGGTACATTCTGATGTGCAGGAGGTGGAGCAGGAGTGGCAGAAGACCACATGGAGGAACAAAAAACTCCTGACTGAGTTCAAAAAAGGAAGTATCCTGAAGGTGGAAGGGGAGTGGGCTGCCTAGAAGAAATAGTCATTGCCCAAGCAAGTAGGGATGCAGTTAGGAAAACTAAAGTTCAGCTGGAGTTGGAACTAGCAAGGGATACGCATGACAACAAGAAAAAGGCTTCTGCAGCAAGTACCACTTCTATAAGTACACTGGTACAAAGAAAGGCTCAGAACAAACAACATTCATTCCTTTCCCCTCATCAGTGAAGCCAGTCATGTCATCACAGAAAGCAATTAGATTGCTCAAGCGTGCTTTGTCCTTGGTGAATCCAGTCCCCTTTTTATCCTTCATATGCCTGGAAATGCCTTCCAGAAGCATCTTCCCAAAGAACTGAGATTAGACTGACCAGCCTTTATTCCTTCCTGGGGACCACTATTCAACAGAGCAGGGAACCTCGTGGCAAAAGACTCGTAAAAGGCCAAGGCTACCTGTCTTCCCTCTTTACTGCTGAGGTCTGTTCTTGGGTCTCCCAGGTCCCTGTGCCTAGTGGCAGAGTATGGAAGAATAAAGCATTAATCATGGCAGAGAAGACTGAGTTAAGGTCCAGTTATGCAAACTGGACATAAACATGTCAATGGGAACAGGTGAGGTGCACCAAAGCTCCAAAGGAAGGCAGCCAATGTCACAGTGAGACCATTCTCTCTGACTTTCAAAAGGCTGCAGCAACTATGAAATATTCCTGATGCCTGGAAAAAAAGACACCTATCTACAAGAATGGCAAGGAGGAGGAAATACAAGCTGGTTAGCCTAACCTCAGCGCTTTGGGAATATCCTCTGGAAGTCATTTCCAAGAATATAAAGGTAAAGAAGGTGACTGTTAATAGCCAGCATGGTTTTACCAAGAACAAAGCATTCCTGACCAACCTGAATGCCTTCTGTGATGAGCTGACTGCCTTTGTTGATTAGGGGAAAGGAGTGGATGTCGATTATTTTGACTTTAGCAAGGCTTTTGAGTGTCTTCCATGGTCTCTATGTAGCCAAACTGGAGGGACGTGGTTTGAATAGGTGACCTGCAACATGAGTCAGCCTAGACCACCAGGCTCAGAGAGTTGTGATCAAGAACTTCAAGTCCAACTGGAGTGGCTGAACCAGATACTAGTAGTGGTCCTTAGGGGTCAATACTGGTGTCAATACTGTGTAATGTCTTCATTAGCTGGATGATGAGATGGAACGCACCCTTAGTAAGCTTGCAGGTCAAATTGTAGAGAGGGGCTGGTGAAATGGCAGACAGAGCTGCCATTCTGAGGGACCTCAACAGGAGAAATGGGCTGGCAGAAACCTCATGAAGTTCAACAAAGGCAAACACAAAGTCCTGCAGCTAGGACAGACTAATGACTGGATAGAGAGTAGCTCTGCAGAAAAAGACCTGAGCAAACTGAACATGACTCAGCAATGCACCCTTGCAGCCATGACGACAAAAAAACAACATGCTGTGCTTTGTTAGTAAGAGCAAAAGAAGCAAGTCTAGGGAAATTATTATTTTCCTGTATTTGGCACTTATGAGGCTGTATCTGGAGCACTGTGCCTAATTTTGGGCTTCACAGCAAGATAGACACTGACATACTGGAGACATTCATGTCTTCATACTGAGACACACGGAAAATCCCAGCAACGAGAATGGAAAAAGATTGGCCTGATTTAAAAGGCTGCCAAGTTAATTATTTATTTCAGTATCGATTACTATATTGCTTGAAGAAATCTGTATTTATCCCAAATCTCCAACAAGTCATTAATAGATCAATGTCAATATACAGGGCTATATCTGCCCACCCTCCATAAAATTTATCAGAAAGAAGGGAAGCTCAGGAAGTTACCACTGCGTCTGCAGTATTTCTAAGGGAAGTTCTCCTCTCCTACAATATTCCTTAAAGAGGCTGTCTGAACACTTCTCCTAGCTTCTAGCAGTGATTTTTGTAAGCCACTGTGCTATCATTGTCTGTTCTAGCTGTGCTTTCTGGAGAGAAGCCAGGACACAGCAAATCTTAATACCACATGCCATATCAACCCATACTGATTTCAACAACAATACTACTTCTTGCTTCTGAGCCAGACAGAGCAAATAACCACATCTCTTCCAGCTTAACTTACCCACACACTGCAGAACCCAAATAGAGTGAAGATAAATCTTGTAATTTCTAGAGGCTGCTAAGAAACATGTTATGTTAGCTCTAGTTCCTATTTTTTATATCCCTGTTCCAAAGACAGCCTCCATAGTTTCCAAAGACTGTATTGCCCACCTGTTTGGCCGTCAATCTGTATGTCAGTGTTTCCCGTCTTTCTCCACCCCCCTCAACTTTTGAACGTTCCCTGACATAGAGCTAAAAGCCTCAAATATACGAAGTTTCTAAAAGTCTTCTGAATATTGACTGTTGGGAGACAGACCCAAGCTAGTTGCAGGTCAGTAAGTAATGCAAGTATTGCGGAGTAATAATTTACCATCAGGCTACAACAGTCTTATTTTACGATCGTAGTTAAGCTGAGACTTGTGTTACATAATACCTTACCCTCCCATAGAAACACCGGCTGCCATGAACGGAGCTGAGGGGTACAAGCTGTGTACATGACGAATAACGGCCTCTAAATCCTCTGTGTTAGCTGCACAGTAAGTCCTTGGTGTCTGTAAGGAGGCAGAGGGAAAAATGCCACCCTAAGCTTTTGTATTATCCTTTAAGGACAAAGCAAACTGAACAGTGGATCATTTATATAACAAGACAAATTTAGCATTTATCATGAAACTGCACTAAATGGCAAACACAAACCCAGAGCATTTCAGGAGGAGGTGGAGGAAGGAGTTATACTTGTTGTCACTGCAAAATAAAACAGGTGACAAACATCTTCAGTATCTGCAACCTCCAGGTCATCGGATGCAATCTGAACACTGAGTAACGAGCTAAACTAGGCAGAACTAGATCAGAACTAGATAGGCACCAATACTTTTAAAATACCCCAAGGAAAATGGAACATATCATAAAGGCTGCAATTTACAGAAAATAGAGTTATATTGACAATTTTACCATCTTCACTCACATTCAGTATTAGGTTTCAAGTTCTGTTAGCTAGCATTTGAAAAGTAGCCATCCCTGGAAGTGTTCAAGGCCAGGTTGTATGAGGCTGTGGGCAACCTGGTGTAGTGGAGGGTTTGTTTCCCTGCCCATGGCAGGGGGGTTGGAACTAGATGATCTTTGAGGTCCCTTCCAACCCTAACCATTCTATGATTTTATGATTTAGATTCTACACACAATACAAGCAAATAAATAAATAAATAAATTCGCCAGTGCCATTTACCTAATGTACTAAAATATTCCATTAACTAAAGGAATGAAACACGTATATTATCCCTCTCTACCTACCATCAGCATCTCTTCAAATCTTGAATCGAGACTTGGAATGACTTCCACTGACATCACTGAGATTTGGGTAACCCCTTCCTTGCCTTTGAAGGATAAGCACAGCTTTTGAGCCTTACCTGCACAGACAACTGCTACCTGCCCCAATCTGGTAACTATCTGGAACAGTATAAGGGAGATAAGCCCTTTTAGGTACAATTAGAATCACAGTAAAATAAGTTTTTTTCTGATAGTGTTCTCTAGATTTACTCTATAGCAAAAGAGAGCTTTTAATTGTAGAGTAGCTACTAATGTTATTAGTGACCTTGACTTATAACTATAAGTAGTGGCTGGCCTGCCAAAATTCAGTACAAACATAAAAACTAAATACAAAAATACTTAATTATGAGTTAATTGAACTTATTTGTTCCCTGAAGCAACAATGTATTTTAAGGTGGTTTTTTTTTTTTAAATTGCTTTCAGTTGAACAGCCTGGACATTTGTGGGCAATTTTAACAAGTTTAATTAGATGAAACTAATTACTTAAAATACATTTAACAAGAATATTGAACTGTTGAAGTCAAAGATTTAAAAAAAGAGAAGAAAAACTAAATCTGGATAATTAAAACTGAAGACATTTTTAATTTCCATTTATGTTGCATTGCCAGTTCTCATCCACATGAATCACTCTTCACTGTTATACACCCTATTAATTATAAACAGTGTGAATATGGTTTGTTTTAATTAAATTGTCAGGTTTACAAGGAAAAATACATTATTTTTGGCAACTAGGGTCTAATGTATTCTAAGTGAAAGTACATGTCATTAAAATTTTATAAAACTAGAGAGATGTCTTGCATTTTAATTTCAGTTAATTCCTGACACTTTAATGTCTGTCTACCTACTCATTGTGTGAAGATATTTTAAAACACCATCTTAGCTCACATTGGCTGTGGTCAATCTAGTATTCGATTATCCTGTAACTATATTTCACAGTAACTTTCAATAACAAATGAGAACAGCATTTTAAAACTGCTTATTTAAATAGCTATAATTTGGTGTAAATTTGAATCTATCTTTAAGGAGACTAGAAAAATAACTTCTTGCATGACCAATTTTTACTGTGGTGCTTAACTGTGCTTCAAACTCATTAACCAGGGATTTTATATTAAAATGTAGAAACCCCTTTGCAGAAAATGTGATAATTTCAGCTGGTTTGCTTCACAGCAAGATCTTATAAAGCTTAAAGATGTAAATCCGATTACAGTAAAATACACACAATGCATCCAAACAAGAGATCTTTTCTCTTAACGATTCAGAAATTCATCAATAAGGACTTTGTGTATCACAAAACTGCTTTGTAGATCCATCTCCAAAAGCATGCAGAAAACTACTCTTAACATGGCAATATTTGCATTGAAATGCTTTATCTGATTATGGGAAAACATTCTGAGCTTTTTAAAGTTTGGAACCAGGAGATTAAAAAATGCAAAACAATGCCAAGTATTATGCACATTCATTCCAGCTGCAGAACTGTCAACAAAACGCATGTGAAGAAACAAAGCTTATTCAGCAATATTTCATCATGCCTTGTCCCTAGCTGCAGACAACGTTTAGCTTCAAGACTCTGTCATTCGTGGAATTGCCAGTTATTTCTCAGCAAACATGATAAGTCTGTCCCAAACACAAAAAATTTCTTTTGTAGCTGAGTTTGTGTCGTAATTGCTGAGAAAAATACAAGAACACATTTAACTTTTAGGGTATGGCTATCCATAAAAATCTGGTTCATTAATTCAATAACACATAATACGGATCAATTTTAGTGGCACATCTTTTTAACCGTATCAAAATCTAGTTTAAACTCCTATTGGCAAATGGGAAAGTAATTATGACTGCTTATATTTGAATTTGTATGTTAGAACAATGGGAGAAAATTACATTGATTGAACAGAATTTCTTGGATGTGTGCATTTCAGGTACTATTTTTGGAAATAAAAGTATAAGCATTGTTCATTTTAATGTTACAGATATTAATAATTTTAATTATTTCCTAAAATGAAATGTTCACAAAAATTGCGTGTTGACCAGTTGACCTTTTTGAGTTTTAAAATAAAAGATGAATGTTGGCCCATGATTGATCTACCAGATGATTAGATTCCCTTCTCTGCATTTTCAGCAGATGCTGTGAGTTTCTCTCATTTAAATCCAGCCATACAAATAGACACAAATGTTTCCATATATACCGTTTACAAGTGAGAGACGTTTGTCTTAGAAGTCATCCTTACCAAAAGATCCTCACCAGCAATTCCCCGATTGTTAAAAACCACACACCTAAAAAATGAGACAATAAATCCAATTATACACATTGTTCATTCCACTAAAAAAGATAACTTAAACACACCAAAAAAACAGAAAATGCATAAAGAAAAACGAGCCAGTTCTACGAATAAGTTCAGCACATAAAAATTTACATTCCTACAGATCCTAAAGTCTGACCTGTGTGGAACAACCTTTATGCCAAAATGGAGTTCACTGAAGTCAGTGGGACTCTATCCGAGCTCTGTGATTTGCCGGTCGAGGTCAGATTGCAGGGTGAGGGCCTCGGGGTCTACCTGAAGATGGTACATGCACCTTGTTCTGCCCGCACTCTGAGCTGGCCAGATACGAGGAGCCATAAACTCTGCCCTAGCAGGTTCTGAGCCTAAAGCACTGCTCTGAAAGAGAGCATCGGAGATCCACATATAGACATCCCTCAAAGCTGCACAATTGTATAAAATACCAAAAAATGAGCCAAATCAAAACTATAATGACAGCTGCATCTAAGTTGCAGGTTCTTGGGGATGGGAATTTTTTCTGTCCGGTATAGCAGAAGTTTCTGTTCTCTCTATCCTGGTGGAAGTCTGAATTTTCTAGTAGTATTACCTTGATTTAAGGATCTGTGCTTTCTTAATAAATCTTACTTTTCTATTACCCTTCTATCATCTCACTGTAATAATTTTGTTAAATAATATATACATATTTTAGATGGGTTAAAGGCATGAAAAATTACTTATTTTGGTATTTTTCTCAAATACTGCTGTTTAATATTGCTACTGCGTTCAGCTCTGGGGTCCCCAACAGAAGAAGGACATGGAGCTGTTGGAGCAGGTCCAGAGGAGGGCCACGAAGATGATCTCCGGGCTGAAGCACCTCTCCTAGGAAGACAGGCTGAGAGAGTTGGGGTTGTTCAGCCTGGAGAAGGAAGGCTCCGGGGAGATCTTACAGCAGTCTTCCAGTAACTAAAGGGGGCCTACAAGAAAGCTGAAGAGGGACTTTTTACAACGGCATGTAGTGATAGGACAAGGGGTAATGGCTTTAAACTGAACGAGGGTACATTTAGATTAGATCTAAAGAAGAAATTTTTTACACTGAGGGTGATGAGGCACTGGAACAGGTTGCCCAGAGGAGCTGTGGATGCCCCGTCCCTGGAGGTGTTCAAGGTCAGGTTGGACAAGGCTTTGAGCAACCTGGTGTAGTGGAAGGTGTCCTTGCCTGTGGGAGGGGGGGGTTGGAACTAGATGAACTTTAAGGTCCTTTTCAACCCTAACCATTCTATGATTCTATGATTAAAACCAAAATTATAGCATTCTGTTGAAATCTGATCTAAAGCTCTCCTTTTTAAGGCCATACTTTCTTTTCTTAGGTGATCAAATGCAGATACTTCTTTCAAGAATACTAAAATTAATAGTAAGAAGTTGTTGATTTGAGGGCTTTCCTCCTCTGATATTTTTTACTGGTAAGTTTTGAAGTGGTTTTAAAATTACTTTGAACAAGTTAAAAGTGCTACTTTACTTTCATAATTTAGTAAAGCAGTTATCCAAATCTCCAAACAAAGAACAGATAGCCAGACATGTACATAAACGCTCACATATACACATTTGAAGAACTTATTATAGTCAGTACCAGAAGGAAAGACAAAATGTAATATTCCAAACACAGGCCCTGGAACAACAACAACTTATTTTAAAGCACAGCAGCAGCAATACATAAAGGAATCTACTCATTGATTAATCCACTTATTTTACCCAATTGTGGCCAGAAACCTTAATCATAAAACTAAATTAAGCAGAGACAATTAAAAGGTGACAAACTTCTTCCTTAACCACCACTAGTAAGAGTAGGCTAGCTCCCCTTTCTGCACTCACGAATTTGAGGCTGCTGAATCAAGCAATTTTGGCATTCAGAAGCCGACCTCCTCCGAGGCCTGCTGCCAGCAACCCATCCACACAAGTCTTGTTGGAGTTGAATACAAACCCCTTCTCTAGAAAGTGTAAAGGTAACACAAATATTGGTATTTTAATTTAAGAAGCAGCAGCAGCAAAGGCCTATGCAACCTTAGCTTGCTTTCACTGCAATCTCTGGGGCACGTTTGTAGATGCTAAAACAGCCCTCCCAAATGTACCCCTGTTACATAATTCTACTATTATTATTACTAATAATACTTTCTTACATAAACTAATGCCTTTAGATTTCATTTGCCTTAGGGAGGTATCTTATACATACTTATATTTGGTCTTACTAGAAGAAGCAAAATACTAGCGATGAAATACAACAGCACCTATATCCCAGCGTTTCGCTTTGATGGATCATATGAAGAATGTAGGATTCCTTGCTCGTTCCTGTCAGGCCAGGCAATAAGAGGACAGTGGGTCTTGCGCTGGCATCCGGATAATATAAGCTCTCATTATTATCAAACCAATCCAACGAAATCTGTCCTCCATCTGCTGTTTTAATGAGCTCACTGAAAGGCACATTTCAAGACAACACTGATTAGATTGAAAAATACACACATGCTACTAAGAGTGCTCACAGTGTACAAATTACCAGGTAAAAATTCTGCATTTTTAATTATGTTTTAATACTCACAGTGCCACCTAATTAGGTACGTTTGCACGTTGACCATTGAGAAAGAGCCATGCCTACAGGTGACAAGAGTTAGCACAGTCGATTTGTGGAGTAATTCCCGTTCACAGTAAGTGAAGAGCTGGCATTTCAGGAATTGCTGCTGATGTACTGGAAGCTTGTAACTAATGTGATTTTTGGCATTGCCTTCTATTTTATTTAGGCTTGTGTACTGCAGATTTTCTTTGGATCATCTGCGAATCTTTTGAGAGCACACTGGCAATGTGTTAAACATTTATCACATTTTTTTCTCTTTATCCAAAAGAGGATGGCACTTTGTTATGTTTTAAACATGTGGAACGCAGACACACATTACTTTAGCTTTCACCCTGTATCTCTACAAACGTTGCTAGAATGAGCTCTTAAACCATGTATCTTAAGAATGCAACAAGTAATTATAATATCCCAAGGAGCTATGCATGCATTAAACAATGACAAGAAGGTTTCCTTCTTTTTTTAGAAACATACAGCATCTTCCCTCTTCCTGGTATTGAAGACATCATACGAGAGAGTTGGTGTAGGAACTACCAAAACGTAAGCCTACCTTGCATCTGATTTTACATTTGAAAGTCTTGATAGCACCTACTCCAGATTTTAAAGCTCATCAGCCTTGTTGGACTCACTAGCTCAGCTCTGCCCTTTTTCAGTAATGGGAAGTAGATGCAACGCTGGTGTGTACTGCCAACACAACCTCAAATGCTGCAAAATAAGCATTGCCCCATGGAACTACGTTACTTCCCTCACAAACCTTGAAATAGAGAGTATACAAGAAGGGCTAGAAAAAGTGGACATGGCCATACCACTGAAATGTATCCTAGTTACTAAAACTAAGGGAAGCTGCTAAATGCTAAATCTATTCTACCATGCAAACAGAGCTGAAACAACTTGTGCTGCATCCAGGTTCCGGCGCATAAAAGTACTTCTCTTTAGGTCTTGTGCCAAATGCCTCATTTGCCAGACTAAGTCTCATTTCTGTGTGAGAGAGATCAGCTGAGGACAAACAATAAATATAAGTTTTTTCCCTCTTAGAATTTAGGCATCAAAGAACACAACATAAACCCCATAGGTAAAAGTTACTCTGAAAAATCCCAGAAGTTTTATATATTCGAAACAAGGCTGAATGTGGCCATGCTACGGTTAAGGTATAACATGTTGATTCAATGGACAGATACAGTGATTGCATGACCCTTGCAAAACAATGGCATTCAAACACCAGAATATTTGATACATCAGATGACTGTGCTGCCATCCAGAGGGACCTCAATGGGCTGGAGAAATGGGGTGACAGGAACTTCATGAAGTTCAATGAGGGGAAGTGCAAAGTCCTGCACCTTGGAAGGAACAACCCCATGCATCAGTACAGGCTGGGGGCTGACTGTTTGGAAAGCAGCTTGGCAGAAAAGGATGTATGGGTCCTTGTGGACACCACATTGAACATGAGCCAGCAATGCATCCTCGCAGGAAAGGCGGCCAACAGCCTCCTGGGCTGCATTAGGAGGAGCATTGCCAGCAGGTCAAGAGAGGGGATCCTTCCCCTCTATTCAGCACTAGTGAGGCCACATCTGGAGCACTGGGTCCAGTTCTGAGCTCCTCAGTACAAGGGAGACATGGACATACTGGAGAGAGTCCAGCAAAGGGCCACAAAGACAATGAAGGGACTGGAGCATCTCTTCTATGAGGAACGGCTAAGAGAGCTGAGGCTGCTTAGCTTGAAGAAGAAAAGGCTCAGGGCGATCTTATCAATGTCTATAAATACCTGAAGGGAGGGTGCACAGAGGACGGAGCCAGGCTCTTTTCAGTGGTGCCCACTGACAGGATCAAAGGCAAACGGGCACAATCTGAAACACAGGAGGTTCCCTCTGAACATCAGGAAACACTTTTTCACTGTGAGGGTGACTGAGCACTGGCACAGGTTGCCCAGGGATGTTATGGAGTTGCCATCCCTAGGGATATTCAAAAGCTGTCTGGGCATGGTTTTGGGCAACTGGTTCTAGGTAGCCCTGCTTGAGCAGAGGGGTTGGACAAAGTGACTTCCAGAGGTCCCTTCTGACCTCAACCATTGTGTGATCCTATGCATATATAACCACATCAGTTCCTATATTGTCACCAATATTTCAGTGCTCCAAAACTCTCTGAGATAAACTAAGGCCATTTGGGAACCTTGACCTTTTAAACCGACTGTATATTGAATGCAGGATAGAGATGTTTCCAAGGCTAGGATGGAGTTGTAAAGGCAGGCATAAAGCAAAAAAATGGGCACGAGCTTGAGCAATGATGGCAGCTGCGGCACAGTCAGAGTAAGGTAACTGGTGGCTACTGAATCAGTCACTTTCCAGCAGAAAGGCACTTACTTCCTGTACTGTACTTGGGGTCTAGAGGTGATAAAGGGACGCAGGAGTGTCTGCACCCGACCTTCCCAGCACCAAATCGTGGGATAGTAAGTTTCTGTCACAACAGGGCAATATTCCTCAAGAAAGCGGCAGAAACGGTCGTTGCTGGCCACCAGCTGGGGTTTCTAGGAAGAGAGACTACAGTCAGGCATGGACATTCATATAAAACAAACTAACTAATAAATAAATAAAAAAAATTAAAAAAAATAAAAAAAAATAAAAGCTTGTTTAAATCCTCTCCCAGTGAACTGACTTCTTTCATATAATCATTTGCAATGCTTTTTCCTTTAATAGTAAAGAGGTAAGTAAAACAAACAAACAAAAAAAGCCAAAATGCCCACTGAAAAGTGAAACCCACTAAACATTATGGATTCCTTACCTATTTCTAGTAACATTCTAATCTAGCTCTACTTTTACCAGCACTGTACCTTTCACTGAAGAATCAAACCCACACTGCCTCACAGTAGGGGAGAAAGATTTTACTGAATCAATTGTCTTGCACCGCGCAGAAATGATGATTAGTCTGTGTACTTTGACTGTGCACCTGCAGTACCTATTCTAACCTGGTAGGACACTCCTCCTCCTATCTCATACTAGGGTACACAACTGCATTGGTTACTCATCTCTAATAATGTTCTGCATAGCTGCCATTTGTATACCAATTAACGTGGAAATCCCTGTATACCAAACGACTCACATTTTAGCAACCACATTTCTTAAACTTCTCTTTTACACTGACTATCCAACAAGCAAGCTTTAATAGGACAATAATAGATGCTTTGAAGAAAACCATTACACATACACAGCAGTAGTGGCACGTCCTCCTGACCCTTCATTTTTCTCCTCTTACAAAAATCAAGTAACCACTTCTTGATGAAGAGGAAGGCTATGTTCTCAGTGGTGCTGTGAAGGACTATGGGAACACACACGTCTTCCAACAGTCATAAATTTTTTGATATGCATATTTTCAGCTGATTAAGCATTCAATGAGGTGTCCTCACCACGGGGCCACTTGAGATCGGATCGGGCTCACTGTATCCAAGTAATTTGCGAATGCCCAACTTATCTGTGAAACCACTACTGATGAGAAGATGCGCAAGAGGGTCTTAGTCCCTCAAAACAACGTGATGGTGGCCCCAAAGGTAATAGTGACGGTACCAAAGGCAGACACAAGGGCAGCAAACTATTTTATCACCTGCTGTGTTACTAAACAGGCTAACAGGTCGGGTTTTTGTTGTGGAGAGAGGGCTCCTGACTTCTCTTTCCAAACCATTGCCCCCAGCCGAGCTTTTTCCCTGGTACAACTGCATTTCGGGGGCGCCTGAGGCCAGAGCCCCTCCCCGACTGGGCACGACCAGACGGGCACTCCTCGGGCCG